GAATAGAACTGACTTAATTTTGTTTTTTACACATAATTTTTAATATAATTTATCATACCTTTAATAAATTGGTCCCCGTATCCCATTGAGACATGAAGTCAATGATATCAATGAAGCAACTTGATATCTGTTGACTTCTAATAAAAAGCCAAATATTTAAGACGGCCATGTTAAGACTCTACAAATCCATAGGGATTTAGAAAATGTCCTGTCAATGTTAGCCTGTAGATCAGAGCGTGGCTCTGACCAGGCTTAAGATATGAGGGCATACTGGTATTAATACCAGATGCCTCTAATAGTGGCACGATATCTCTAAATCCACGATCAACGACTACTTTGTCTTCTTGTTCCAATCATGTGAGCTTTGGTAATGCTTGCATCATTTTGGCTTCCAGAGAATGGTTCTACTGTGTCCAAAATGAAGCCATCAGGTAGAGCTTTATGCTATGAATCTAAGATAATTACGGTTTTTTCTGCCCACAGTAAGCCATTCTTCTTTTTGTGTTTTGTGACCTAACATGCACTGAAACGTTTATTGTTGGCTTGCAACGAATTGCATTACCTATTACCTTTAATTAGGTGCATTGCTTGGTGGTGGACGCCAGGGAGGTGTCACTGGCCCTCACAATTTTGGGTGCACAAGGGTCTTTGTCGTGCGAAAAGAATACTTTCTGTCACTTTTTGTTTTGGACTGAATTTTGCATAAATATTTGAAATAACACCCCTACTGCATACAATGAAAATGTTTGGTATACAGGAATAATAAGAATGAAAAATCCTGTATTTTACATTAATCTTTTCACAAAATTTTCGATTATCCTCACATTCTGGATGATAAATATATCTTTTCAGCATCACCTGAAAGAAAAAAAATCTTTCCCAAGTACAATGATGCAAAAATTATGATTTATTCCCAGAAAAATGACAATATTCCATTTTGTGACCCTCATGCTGTAATTAGATTAATTAATCATCTAAATAATAAGTAGACTTATTCGAAGTAATTACTCAAGTTGTATAAGGTTTTTTTAGTTTTTTTTACAGCAGCATGAATCGCATAGGCTAGCACTTCTGAAACAAACGTTATGAAAGGACAGGCACCTATGTGATTTTTACAAAGCTGGAAATAGTCCCTTTATGAGATAAAATAAGTTTTACTGTAAGCTCGTAGGAGTACATACTAGTATTAGACCATAAAGGACATCCTCTAAATTTCACGTGTTGCTCTCTCGTACCTTCTCTGCCTGATATTTCGAGGACGCCAAATGACTGTTGGAACAGATCGAGACATCATATTTCCAAACACAGGATGTTACCCATGTGTAATATAATTAACTTTAACTTGGGAAATATAAGTAGCCAAGTTTCCCATATAAATTCCATATATGAATACTTATCAATAGTATTATTGATCTGATGTCATTATATTTTATGTTTTCGCCTCGCATTTGCAAACTTGGAGAAAGTCTTTTCACAACCCAAATTATTTGATACATCATCTGTCTACTGACAATAAAACTTTCAAAAGGAATTCACGAATTCTTACTTAAAAGTGTCCTTCTTTGTTTACATTCTGTATAGCTATAGTGAATATACCATGTTTAATTCCATTTAAGTGACCAATAAAATCCCGATCAAGCAACGCCACCGACGTATCCCGCCAGCCGTGTACGCTGAGGTTAGGGATCATCTACGGAACTTGGTTGACGGAGGGATCATCAGGAAGTGTCACAGCTCAGGAGAATGCCTTGAGGAGCTCAACAGATGTCTTTCCACACTTCCTGTTCTCGGTTATGCAGATCATCAGCTTCTGTTTGAGTTACACACAGATGCAAGTTGCCAAGGATTAGGAGCGATACTCTACAAACGTCAACACGGCCATCTTCGGGTGATTGGCTATGGCAGCCGTGGACTCACAAAGACAAAACAGAATTAGCCCGCCCACAAATTAGAATTCTTGGCGCTCAAATGGGCTGTGTCGGAGAAATGTCATGACGATCCGTATTGATTGGTGAAATATATACTGTATTTACAGATAATTATCCATTAAAATATGTGCTCACCTCGCCGAAACTAGACGCAACAGGACATATGTGGATTGTGGCGCTCGCAGCGTACAACTTCGACATTCTGTATCATCCTGGGAAGGTGAATGTGCAGGCGGACGCGTTATCATGACTGCCCCGTTCCAGTACGGATATCGAGCATATTGGGATTGACTTTGTGAAGGCTATGTGTCGTAGCTCGTAGCGATAACCTTTGTGGAAATGGTAAGTACGTTGGCCACAGTGTTGGATGTGCTAAACCGTGGAAAAGCTTTTCATGGTTTGTCAACACTGGACGATAGGCAGGCACATAGGAAGGATTCCTTACTCAAGTATTGAATTGAGCAGCTCAGCCCTTAGAACTAGTGTGTATGGATGTTCTGTCCAAGGGAGGCTGTTCATACATAATAGTTGTGACGGGTAGCTTTACGAAGCATTCCCTAGCCATCCCTACTCGCAACATGGAGGCTAAATCAACAGCAGATGCGTTTTCCAGAACTTTGTCAATCATTATGGAATTCCACAGTGGATACATTCCGATCAAGGAGCAAATATTGAGGAACGAATCATTGTGCATTTGTGCAAGGATCTCGGGGGGTTAATTCGCGAACAACACCGTACCACCCGATGGGAAACGGCAAATGCGAAAGATTCAATCGCACCCTGCTAGGAATTCTGCGAACCCTGGATCAAGATCAGAAAGCAGACTGGAAAATTCACATTAGAGAAATAGTGCACCCGTCATGAGAGCACCGGTTACTCCCCATGTTTGGGAGGGAGCTCAAACTCCCACTTGATTTGGCGTTCGGCATAAGAAGCTCCGATGCAAATCAGACGCTCCCCACTAACGTAAGCACCATGATGAAGAGGTTCATGGAATCGTACCGGTTAGCGACGGAATCCACCAGATTAAACAGTCGGAGACGGAAAACACACTGTGACTGTCGTGCTAGAAGAAGTGCTGTTCTACAAATTGGGAACAAGGTGCTGGTGCGTGTGTTAGCCTTCAGCGAAGGAAAGCATACGATTGCCGATATGTGGGAAGAGATACCCTATCGTGTCATCAGTCAACCCAACAACAACCTTCCGTTGTACACTGTACAGCCGGAGGAAGGACCCATAAGGTGTAAGACCTTGCACCGTAACCACCTACTCCCCATCGGTTGCTTGGAGGAAGCTGACACGGAGACGAAGAATGAAAACAACATCACTACTGTGCGGCCGAGACGAATTACTGTACAATACAAGCCCACAGGCCATGATACTAGAAGTGAAGAATCCGACGAGGAATTCATTATTGTGCCTGATGTAGGACACTCACTCATTGGATGACCTCACAGGAATTCGCCTTTAGGCAACAGGTCACGGAAACAGACTGGCGAGCGGACTTCCTGAATTCACTTTCCACTCAGGGAGTGTTCATGGACATGCCAGAGTCAGTCGTCATGGCTTCACATCAGGTGAGAGCATCTAGTGTTGGTATGTAAATGACGATGTAAATGTAAATTTAAAAAAAAGTACATACTAATGTTCAGTGATAAACGAAAAATATTAAGATCTATATATCACTAAAAAGGTTCATTTAGCAGGAATGTAAGGTATATATGTGCAAGATTCATCAAGTCACTGCTATGTAAACACGATGTTCTTACCCAGAGAGCTTCGCTGGCAGCTTGGTGAATGATGACGTTAGTGATGTGGGAGTTACTTCCCCTTTTTAACCACAGTGGTGCATAAGGGCCCCTGTTTTCTACAAGGGGAAGTAACTCCCACATCACCAACGTCACGAGTGACCAAGCTGGCAGAATGACAGCGAAACTGCCTTTTTCATCGTTTTACACAGCAGTGACTCGATGAATATGGCACAGATAAATACATAGTAACTAAGCGACATATTGTATCAGAAGCAAATGACAGGACGCGATCCTTTCAGTATGGGTTGTGTATGTGGCTGGCACCTATTTAGTGCTTAGCCAATGCCATTAAGAGTAGGTTTAGACTCTCCTTTTCATTCCTCTTCTGTATTTCATTTACTCTTCATACGCCCGTGTCTCCTTGTGTGAGTAACGCGTTTTACCTGTGTTGTCCTGTTCACGTGCATCACCTGTGTACCTGTCGTGTTTGTCACGTGGTGTCCTATTCATGTGCTAGAGAGCTGGGGTCGGGAACTGTTTTTCGGCCTCTCTGACCAAATACATTGATGGAGTAAGACGTATATTTATATATATACATGCTGTATTTGCTAAGCGGGCCCTCTGATATAATAAGCTGTAGGATAAGTGGCACTTTGAAGTGAGGAAGTATTGTTTGTATGTAGGTTTCCATATGATATATTATGTACAATTTATAATTAAGACAATTGTAAAAAAATGATATCGTTTAACAGCATGTGGCGTTGGAGACTCAATGTCAGTCGCTAGGTTCACCCTGTCCAGAAAACGTATATAGTCCTGTCTTAGTAGTATAACTGCTAAATAACTGGTAGCTTTTCCAATTTCGTATTTTCTCTAAAATCAATTAAATACTATCAGTAAATTGAGTGACTATTATATTTAATGAATATTAACTTTGCGTGTGCATGTACGTGCGAGTGTGTATTCATTGTCTGTAGATTTGCGTTTGTCAGGGAATTTGCCCCGTAATAAACAACAGAACAGAACCCTAAGACATTGTTGAGAGGTATATTAATTGCTCTAACATTGGAACCGATTACAGCAATGACAAATAATTCCCCATAATACGTCCGAATAGATGACAATTTTTTACACAAGAAGTAACACACTCAGATATACTACTCTTAGTGAATTTCATGTTTCAAAACTAATTAGTTTCTTCTTAAAATGCATGACGTAGGTTTCAAAAACATAAATAAGTGAATTGAATACATATTTTTTTCAACTTAGATGATAGATTTTCTATATATAACAAATAAAAATTAAAATACAGCTGTTGTATTTAAAATACATTTTATTAGGATTTTTTTGATTGGATGAATAACTTTTTATATATAATAAAACCGGTACATTACTTTGTACCCTCTATCTATTAAGAGAAGCATACATGAAAAGTAATATACTTGGTCGAAACTTAATAAGGAACACTTCTACTAAGTTAGAAGTCAATCGGTGTAGCCTTTCTTCAGAAGAAGTAATACAATCTCAGTCAATGAGAGGTCAGGGTGACCATCTTGAATGTTCTGATCGGCACAAAAAAGTAAAAACACTTGTTCGGAACTTTATAAGGAAATTTTGTACAAATAAAGAAGTGAGCTGCGTCAGACGATCTTGAGAAGTTGACAATTTCTCGTCTCAGCAAATCAGAGGCCAGGATCGGCCATCTTGGATTCTCCGATTGGCAGTAACTCTGCCAGTGACTGTCTGATCGAGGTCATTTGTGAATTTGTTTAAGATCTTATTTATATAAAGCGGCATAGCAAAATTCATCGAAACTCATTCCCATTTACTCCACTTATTGTGTTCACAAGCTCAAGTCCCATTGGCTCTATAATAGTAATTAAAATTTCAAAGTCCAATAACTCTGCCAGTTACTGTATGAAAGGCTCAATTTTGAACACGTCAGAGATCTTATTGAGTTAAAGCGGCATAGTAAAGTTCATCTAAATCCATTCACATTTACTCAAGTTAGTGTGCTCACAAACTCAAGTCCCATTACATCTCCAATAGTAATTAAAATTTGCAAGTCCCATGACACTGCCAATTATTGTCTTTTGAACCCGCCCGAGATCTTATTAATATAAAGCAGCATATCAAATTTATTGAAATCCATTCACTTTTACAAAAGCTATCGTGTTCACAAGATAAACGTTAACGCACGACGCACGACGACAGACGAAGACGGATGGCAATAGGTCACCATGACCAGGTGACCTAAAAATATAGCCATGTAACCAAGCTTATCAGCATAAAAACAGCTTGGACAATAGCATTGCTAGTGAGGGGGAAATATAGTATTTATCTATTCAAATATATACAAAATTCAAAGCATAATGACAAGACGTCTTCATCTGTATCACGGTATTCAAAGAATTCCCATAATGTCGAGCTCTCGAGACATCTGGCACACAGCGCAGGGTGCACAGTATTGCAGGATAAAAGCGTCATTCATGATTGAACCCTTAAAAGGAAAAACAGAAATACCATGTGTATATGACAGAGACATACAACGAAACAGTTTTTGTACAAATAGAAACATACAATGTATATTCTTATGACAGAGACATACAATGTATATTCTTATGACAGATACAAACAATGTATATTCTTATGACAGATACATACAATGTATATTCTTATGACAGATACATACAATGTATATTCTTATGACAGAGACATACAATGTATTAATTCCATAGCAAACACACATACAATGTATCAGTTTCTATACAAACAGACACACAATGTTAACCGAGATATACAATGTATCAGTTTCTATACAAACAGACACACAATGTAAACCGAGATATA